TACTTTGCATTATTTCATCGTTGTAGTATATATTACAGTAAAATATGATACTGCTGTAGTTATAAGCTAAAAAAATATTTTAATCTTTGTAAAGAAATCATCAAAAGATTTGACTGCTATGTAACAGTAAACAGTATTGTGTAAAATTATTATCTTTATAAATACGCATTAAATACATTAAAAAAATACAAAAATTGTTTCTTAGACAACTAGTTTAATGTTTACTGTAAAGTATTTATTACTGTAGAAAATCCTTCCAGAGATGTTACATAAATATGACCAATTATTAGAATATGAGTTTTTAGAGAATTTTGCATCACAAATAAAAGTAATTTTTGTATTGTTAATGGAGCTAAATACCATAATGTATTATACCTATAAATTTATAAAAATATTAGATTTAGCATTACTTATAACATTTACATTTACTTATGCTTGCGCATTTAAATTATACGTAACGTGTATATTTTTACACATTTCATAACAAATTTATAAGTATTATATATGGATATAAAATGTTCACTTGATATCCGAGACATTACAATGATGACATTACAATGTGATCTGATGTCAATGTATGAATATCAGGCATGCGTGCGTACGTATGTGCGTGCGCATGTACCTAAAAAATATTTTTGAATGAAAGAAGCGCAACAACAATAACATATGATTATAATTCTACACTTTCACCTATTGCTGCATTATCTCATTGATTTCTACTTGCATCAGCAATATTCAATAGAGTACTATTAGGATATTTAATTTTAAAAACGCGTAGGGTCCTTATTCTGCTGAAATGCTACACACAATACGCACGCGCGCAAAATGTACGACCATTCATACCTTACATGAATAAATATGTATACGCGACGTACAAGTGCTTGTGTCGGAGAACGCGATGTAAAAACGGATCACATAAAAGAAACGTTCAAATCTATTCAGGAAATAGCCATAGAAGTATATTGCCCATTGAAATTTTTTATCAGAGATGCAAGAACTACAACATATTACAAATTCAAGCAAATTGACTAAAAAGATTACTTCATGTAAGTAATGCGGGGTACTTTAAAACATTAAAAGTATGAAGATACTATTTGATCGAAAATATATTTCTTTCTTTCATTTTATGAAATAATAGATTGTAAAATAGTTAAATATAAATATTATTCTAAAATAATATATATAATGACTTGTTAAACATTATCAACCTAATTTAAAAAATGAATTATTCTAATAATCTATTATTCAATATTTAAGTAATAGATTATTAAAGTTCATGATTATATTTAGAAGATATAACAGTTTCGAAATTGATAAAAAATATCATACGAAATAACATTGATTTCCTTAAATAAATGAATTGATTTCGTTCTTTGGAAATTTTGATGTACATATGATACTTACGCGGCATTAAATATTTCTGCGCTATGATCGGAAATTGACTGTCCAACAAAATTAAATACAAACAACATAACAAAATGAATTATTATCACACCGATAGATATTACTATTTCGGAAATCTCATTCGATACAGTTAAGGAATTAAGTAACTGTAAAAATACGTTATATTACTATTCATATTTCAATATATGTATATATAAAATGTACGAATTCATAACTACAAAAAACAAATTAAATTTAAAACGTAAAAAATATATTACATAAATGTAAGTAAATTACTTACACGAAAAAGATTGCAACTTAAAGATATTACGCTGATAACTAATATAGCGAAAAACCATTTGTTCATTATATTAATATAGAATGTAGAAAACCTTCAATAAAGAAGAAAAGTCTCAAAGCTTAGAGTTAAATATATAAGGGCATTAAAAATATACTTTTTTTTTAAATTAAAATTAATGTGCGACATATATAATAAATAGTAAATATGTAAAAGAGTAAATTAAAGACTAACTGAATAGATTTTCTATGAAAATGAACAGCACGATTAATTTTCTGACACATCACGCGAGTTTTATGATAAGCAGGAATTTGAAGTGTATGTCGAGTCACTGTTTTTTCTATTAAGTTACTGCAAACAATTTTTACATAATTAATAATACAAAATAAATTATTTTTTAAACAGAATTAAAAGATACACAAATACCTAGCGATTTTAAAAGTAGCGCAACAATGTCTGATGAACGCGTAAGATAATGCTCCCGTAGCAAGGATGGTAAAAACTTCAATTATTACTGTTATGATTTCATATATTAAATAAATATAAAAATATTGCTCCTCGTCGATAAAAAATTCGAAATTTATTTTTACTTTACGTGGTCGAGATTTGTTCATCGGTGTGACAGCGTCAAGGACAACTGGTATCAATTCAATAATTATAACAAGAAATATAGCAAATGCGACGACAACTGGAAAAGTAAAAAATAACAAGATGACATACTATTTGTTTAATTATCATAACGATACAAGTATCAAATAGAGAAGGATATATTGTATAATTAATTTTATAATTTACTTACAACCTAGAATTAGTGAGAAAAGACGATTTTCATTAGCATATTTTTCTAATATTCTAATTTCATTATCTTCGATTGAATTCCAGTCCAATTTTATTTGTTGCAACAAATATTTCACCTATTATTTAAACAATTATTGCTTTGAAAATTTCTTTTACATACAGTAATAAAAATTTTCGGGTTAAAAAAACTTTTCCATAAAAATGAAGTTACAAGTACTACTTACTTCTTTAGAATTACAATAATAAGCGTTATAAAATACAATACATAATGTGGTGAAGAAAATATATGATAATTGTTTAAAAATAAATTCCAAATTGCAAGTTGTTGTTAAAAAAGTCGTAAACTGCAACACATAATTATGATAATATTAGTCAAATTTATTTAAAAATCACGCAAAAAAGCGTTATGTAAAAAAAAAGAATCGCGGAACACCTGGAATAAAAGAATGAAACAATATGTGCCAAGGAAGAACACCGATTGCACTTGCATAATAATCGGCGTTTGATAAGGCCACAAACCAATCGCTGTTAACATAATCCTATAAATGTTGTAATAACGTTCGCCAGAAAAGACCATCTTACTTAGTAGATGGAATACGTGCGAATAGGAATATCACGGAATTACTGAATAACATCGTACTAAATATTTTTTTATTTTCCTAAGCTATTTATTGTAGGAAAAAATATGTGATCGGCTATGTAATTTAATAATTTTCTGTAATTACGTAGTCAGTACAAAGTGCTATAATTTCGTTAACCATTTGAATAACATGTTACACTGAAAATGATTATTTTTGCGGCAATTGTCAATATTATAAGAAAATATACCTCTCATTATGTTCTTATAGTTTGGACCGGCGCAGATCGAAGTAATTTGACGCGAGAGTGTAATTCACAGTGTGACCTTCCTCCCAATCAAAAAAGAAGTTTTATATTAAATCAACTGAATATACACCTTATATTGCAAGATATTAGATACTTAGATCTTTGAAAGCAATTTTCTGTTTTTAATGTTATATTACATGCATTACATGTATATATATTTTATTGGTTTTTCAAAAAAGTCAGTAATATTTACTAGGATTCAGACGTTCAGATATGATTATGAGGTATGTACGGAGATCTGTCGCGCGCAAGAGTGAATTGAGTATTTGATAAAGTGCAATAGCAACATTTTGATTGACGTGTGGCCTACTCATACAATACAAATATGAAGGGCGCAACAATTTTCTTCGTGTTCCATGATCGTGCCTAAAGGTCCGAATCGTATTAATTGTATTACTTTGAATAATATAAAAGAATGTTATGATGAAAGAAATATTGTAGATTTTTTTTAAAGTATCTCCTTCAATTGTAATATTGATCCTTGAAAATACAGTATAATTTTAATGTTAAAAATAATTATGTATAAGTGATTATATCAATATCATGATGCAATTACAATATTATAAATGTAATATTATAATGTGTGAAATTATTATAATTACAGCAAATAATTATTATAATGTGTTAAATCTTTATAAACTTCTTATAATTCATTTTACAAATGCATTTCGATTATTTCAATTTTATTATATCGGTTTTTTTTAATGTATCTTAGAAATGTAAACTTATACAAAAAAACATTCATATGTGCAAGTAAAATATATACTATGCATAGAATTAGAAATAGCGTTTTATAAGGTAATTATAATCGAAGATTTTATGAAATTATAAAAAAGATTTAACGAGAAAACATTTGACGTGCTATAAACAATTACAAAATATTAAGTATATAAACATTATACATAAATTATAATATTAATTATAACTACGTACCTCGCAGTTTTTCGAATTTGAAGATATATTAAATTATATGTGTATCTCTTCCATATATATAAGAAGAAGATTAATCATTTTGAATTAACGATATGTTAACGGTATGTTGAAAATTCTCATGAAAACATTGGTAATGAGATACATTTTAATAAATTTTATTGTTTATTCAGTGTTCTCTTAAATAAAATACATCATTATTTATTGACACAAGAAAAAGTGAAGTACACGGCGAAAATAAACTTTGGCATTGTCCAGTATATTAATTTGTATTACACAAGTCCTTAAATAGCAACATTCCGAATAAGTAATAGTATGTCCCTAATATGTGAAAATAAAGAACAGATTAACCTCAGATATTAATCGGTTGCACATTTTTGCGGCATCTTAGCACTCGATGCATAGTAAAACCGCGTAGTACGAATCATGAATTATCCCACTACGATGACTAATATATGATTTCAGCTTGCATGTATTACGTGTTAAGTGCTAAAAATTAAAATATTTTTGATATTTTAATGCTGCTAATGGTACAGCATATACGTAAATATTATATAATAATATGAAATTTATGATTTGTTTAAGCATTTGAGTATAATTACGTACTTAGAAATCTGTAACAATCTTCTATTATTAATACGTACAAATATTACTACATGGTTTTATAACCAATTAAAACATTTGTTTTGTATTATTTCATCGTCGTGGTATATATTACAGTAAAGTATGATACTGCTGTAGTCACAAGCTAAAAAAATATTTTAACTTTTGTAAAACAATCATCAAGATTTGATTGTTACAGCCAATGTTGTGTAGCATTATTGTTTTTCTAAATACGCATTAAATACAATAAAAAAAAGATAAAAAATAAATTTTTTCCTAGACAATTAGTTTACTGTTCACAATAAAGTATTTATTACTGTAGAAAATCCTTCTAGAGATGATACATAGATATGACCAATTGTTAGGGTATGACTTTTCAGAGAATTTTGCATCACGAATAAAAGCAATTTTTGTATTGATAATGGAGCTAAATACCACGTTGTATTATACCTATAAATTTATAAAAATGTTAGATTTAGCATTATTTATAACTTTTCATTTTGCTTATGCTTGCGCACTTAAATTATATGTAACTTGTATTTTTCCTTCATTTAATGACAAATATACAAGTATTCTACAAATAAAATATGCACTTGATATCCGAGACACTACAATATAACCTGATGTCTATGTATAAATATCCGTAAATGCGTGTGTACGTGCGTGCATGAGCGCATGTACTTAAAAATGTTATTAAATAAAAGTAGCAACCACAATGATATTATATGATTATAATTTTACCTTTTCATCTATTACTGGATTATCTTGTTGATTTTTGCTTGCGTCAATACTGTTCAATATTGTTCAGCACTGCTGAGATATTTAACTATAAAGAAGCTTGTGCTCGTTATTCTGCTGAAATTCTACGCATATATGTATACAAACGCGCGCGCCAACAGCATGTACGGATACTCATACCTTGCAAACACTTATACGTACATCTACATGACATATAAAAGTTCGTGAAGAACGCGATGTAAGAACGGATCACATTTATTCAGAATTATAAAAGAAATGTTCAAATTCATTCAGTAACTAACCATAGAAATATATTATCCACTGAAATTTTTTATCAGAGGTACAAGAATTACAGATTACAAATTCAAGGAAATTTACTAAAAAGATTATTTAAGTCGTATATATAAGTCATCGTTTATATAAGTCGTGCGGATTACTGTGAATATAAACGTTGAAAATACGAAGATATTCTATGATCAAAAGTACATTTCTTTCTCCCATTTTATGAAATAATAGATTGCCAAATACTTATTCCTAACAGCAGAGATACGTTCAGTGGACGTCCTGCCAGCTCCACAGGACATCTACAGAATGTCCTATTGCAGTCCAAAGATGTCCTGGAGATGTCCTGTGAAATGAGCGCCTCATTATGCCCTTCGATATCTATAAGACATCCAAACCAAAGTCCTAAAAAAAGTCCATCAGTAATCCTTGAAGTAATTCTATTACCTAGGCATCCAAAAGATATCCTAAGAACAATCGCAGGATATCTTTTGGATAAAGTGTGCTGAATCTATATAAGACTGTAATATTTTACAAAATATTATTATATTTGTTAATTTTGTTGATATAAAAAAAAATGCATTCATATCTTATACACTAAGCACGTACAAAAACTTAATATGAATAATTACGATATGTCTGAGCTTACATATATTTCTTTATATATACATGGTGACTAAATTTTAAAGAGGCCACACATTTATCGGCAGTCTTAGAATATAGGAAAATTCAAAAATAGATTCCGCGGATTACAGACAGACACTTTTAGAATTTCTTATTTTTATGTCTTATGGATGTATGCAGCACGTAATGAGGCGATCATTTGATAGTCCACAAAATGTCCATAGGAGGTGCTTAGAATCTGTTATGAAGCGTTTATGAGATTTTTAAACGCTCATTTATTAGAAAGACATTTTAAAATTAAAGACATTCTAAAATTTTAATCTTAGTATCATGTTCTAAACATATCCTATATATGTCCCAGAATATTCAGCATGTATTCAGACTCATCCTAAGGACGTTTTGTGCTGTTAGGACATAAATATCATTCTAAAATAATAATGTCTGTTTAAACATTATGAATCTAATTAAAAAAATGGATTATTCAACATTTAAAAAATGGATTAAAATTTATAATTATATTTTAAGAAGAAAAAAATAGTTTAGAAATTAATAAAAATATCATACATGTAAACAATGACTTCATATAAATGAATTGATTTCGTTTATTATGAAGATTTTAATGTATATATGATACTTACGCGGCATTAAATATTTCTGCGCTATGATCGGAAACTGACTGTCCAAGAAAATTAAATACAAACATTGAAATAATATGACCTGTTACCATACTGATACACATTATTATTTCGGAAAATTCATTTGATAAGGTTAATGCATTAAGTAGCTATAAAAAAATATTGTATTAGTATTCATGTGTATTTTAATTTAGACATACGAATTAACTATAAAAATTGAATTAAAGTATTGTAAGACGTAAAAAATGTAATACATACATAAGTGCATTACTTACTCGAAAAAAATTGCAACTTAAAGACATTACGCAGATTATCACTAAAGCGAAATACCATTTGCTCATAATATTCATAAAAAATGTAGTAGAAAACCTTTAATAACGAAGAAAAATTTAATTCATACCCCTGAATTAATTATATTTAAAAATATGATTTTTTTTAAATTAAAATTAATGTGAGTCGTGTATAATAGACAATAATGCTAAAAGAATAAATTATGTAAAGACTAACTGAATAGATTTTCTATGAATATGAACAGCACGATTAATTCTCTGACACATCACGAGTGTTTTCTGATAAGCAGAAATTTGAAGCGTATGTTGAGTCACTGTTCCTTCGATTAAGTTACTACAAACAATTTTTATATAATCAATAAACAATTCAACATAGATTATCTTCTTCAGCAAAATTAAAATATAGACACATACCTAGCAATTTTAAAAGTAGCACAACAATGCCTGATAAGGGTGAACGATAATGTTGTCGTTGCGAGAACGGTAAATATTTCAATTATTAATGTTATGATTTCATATACTAAATAAATATAAAAATACTGTTCCTGGTCAATAAAAAATTCAAAATCTATTTTTACTTTACGTGGTCGAGATTTGTTCATCGGTGTGACAGCGTCAAGAATGACTGGTATCAATTCAATAATTATAATAAAAAATATAGCAAATACGACGACAACTGGACATTAAAAATAACAAGATGACATACAATCTTCGTAATAATCGTGAGTAAACAGTAAAAGTTTCGAATAGACAGGTACATATCCAAAATACGTTATTTAATATATCTATTTCATAATTTACTTACAACTTGAAATTAGTGACAAAAAACGATTTTCATTTTCATATTTCTGTAATATTCTAATTTCACTATCATCTTTGATTGAATTCCAGTCCAATTTTATTTGTTTTAACAAATATTTCACCTATCATTTAAATAATTAATAATTAATAGTGTTTCTAAAGTTCCTTTTATTTGAATTCTCGGGGTAAAAAAGCTTTTCCATAAAAATAAAATTTCGAATAATACGTACTTCTTTAGAATTAAAATAATAAGCGTTATAAGTTGTAAAACATAATATGGTAATTAAAATATATGACAGTTCTTTAAGTATAAATTCCATGTTGCACGTTGTTGTCAAAAAAGTTGTAATCTGCAATACATATGTATGTTAATAATATATGAAATTTATGCAGACCATTTATGCAGAAATGTATTCAGTCAAATAAAATAATAAAGAACATTCAAACATATATTTGTGTAATAATTCGTTCGAGTTAAGAAGAATAATAAAGTAAATAAGTATTAAAATGTATCTTAAAAATGTTTCAATATATTTGAAAGTAAAAATGCGTTTTAATAAATACTGATTAGTATTAACATATTAACGTTATGATGTATGAATTACTAAGTAAACAATTTCATAAGTAATTAGAATTCATCACTTAATAACGGAGATATTAAGAAGGACTAATACATTTATAATAATCATAATCTCCTTAAATCATCTAAGGAAGTGTTAAGTGTAAGAAGAAAAGAGTTGTGAAATACCTGGAATAAGAGAATGCAGCAATATGCGCCAAGGAAGAACACAGATTGCACTTGCATAATAATCGTCGTTTGATAAGGCCACAAACCAATCGCTGTTAACAAAATCCGATAAATGTTGTAATAACGTTCGCCAGAAAAGACCATCTTACTTAGTAGACAAAATACGTGTGAATGGAAATATCACGGAATTACTGAATAACATCGTACTGAATATTTTTTAAATTTTCCGCAAGCTATCTCCTGTAGGAGAAAAAATATATGATAAGCTATGTAATTTAATAATTTTCTATAATTACGCAGTGAGAGCAAAAAGTACTACAATTTCGTCAACCATTTGAAATAATGACATGTTACATAGAAATATGACTATTTTCGTGGCAATTGTCAATATTATAAGAAAATATACCTTTCATTACGTTCTTATAGTTTGGACCGGCGCAGATCGGGGTAAAACTTTGCATCAGAGCGTAATTTCCAATATAATGCATCTCCAGTCAACAAATAGGTTTTATTTTGAATCAATTGAATGTATCTTAGTGCTAAGATATTAGATACTTAGATCTTCGAAAGCAATCTTCTCTTTTGAACGTTGCAGATATTACATGCGTATATACGTATATATTTTATTGGTGTTTTAAATTATAAAGTCAGTATTATTTACTAGGATCAATATTATCACAATTGAAGGAGACACTTTAAAGAAAATATACAGTATTTCTTACACCAGATATTCTTTTATATTAGAGTTGTTAAAAAAACATGTTTTTTTTTATTTTATACAAAAAATATTGTTTATTTTATTTAGAATAATGTTTTCTGTTTCATTTTGTGTTTTTTAAGCAACAAAAAACATGTTTTAAACAAGAAAAAAATGTTTTTTTGTTTAAAATCTTTTTTGTTGGTTAAACAAAAAAATATTGTATGAATGTTTGAACCTTTCGCCATAAAAAATAATAAATAACTGATAGAATTAGTTATTTTTATTTATTGTTTTTAGTTTATATTACTGCTAATATGTTTCTTGTATGAGCATCAATGAGTGTTTTTCCAAAATGAACGCGAATTCATTATCGACCTTATTAATCCTGCGGGTAAATAAAATCGGGTTGATAAATCGGGAGTACTGGTTCATACTATCCTGCAGCCATGCCAGACGTTATATCCTATCGAGCAAAAACTCCGTTCAAAATTTATCTTTTTTGTGAGGAAGCATTTAAAAATGTTAAGCTAATAATATGACTAGAACTAAAAAATAGTATCAATGTTGTTATATTCAATTTGGTAACACAACTCCATACAATTGCTTCTTCTGCTGGCATAAAAAGGTTGTTTCAGCTTTTGGAATAGTACACCACAAAATTAAGAAACAGATTAGACACAGAAAAAATTTCAAAATTAGTAATAATTTTGAAGGCATTGAACAAAAACACTAGTCTAATACTCTTGTACATGAATATTGAGAATTGAGACTGAGACAGTAAAATCTGATATTTTTTTAAAAGTTTTTATGTTTACAGTTATAAGTAGAAAAGAACTACTACTGAATGTAATTTATATATTCCGTCAAAAGATTAATGAATTTTATTTTATTTCTTATTGTTTTATTTTATTATTTATATGCTTATAGTCTATATGTAGTACTAGTAGTAGAACATATAAATTATAAATAAATAAAAAAATTGTTTGCAACATATATATTATTTTTTGTTTCTCTTTTACAATTTCTTTTCCAAATCACATATTTTAATTGCAGCGTTTTTAAATAGTTTTAATTAAGAATAGTTTAAAATTATTTAAAAAGTGTTTTAAACAATGCCCAGTGTTTCAAACATGTTTTAAACAAGTTTTAACGTTTTGTTTAAAACATAACAACCGTGTTTTACCAAAGTAATGCAATCAATAGATTCAGACGTTCGGGCACGATTATGAGGCATGTACGGAGAACTGTCATACGAAAGAGTGAAATCGAGTACTTGTTGAAGTGTAGTACCAACATTTTGGCTGACGTGCAGCCTATTCAATATAAACATAAAGCGCGCCAAACTTCTTTGCATGCCATGCGATCATGTTCAAACATTCTAATCCTGTTGATTGCATTATTTCGAATGATATAAAGAACATAAGAAATAATGTCCAATTTTTTAAATATGTATTCAACATTATCCTGTAATTATTAAAATGTGTTAAATCCTAAAGTTCTTAGATACAATTCAATTTTTAGAAATGTAGTTCAGTAATTTCTACTTTACAATATTTTTAAATGTAACTTAGAGATGTAAAGTTGTGTAGAAAAGGATTTATATGTGCAAGTAAAACGTTTACTATCAATAAAATTAGAAATTAGCGTTTTATAAGATAATTATAATCTAAAAGTTTTACGAAATTATTAAAAAGTTTAACGAGAAAACATTTGACATGCTGTAAACAATTACAAAATTAAGTATGAATATTATACATAAACTATAATATTAATTATAATTACATACCTCACAGTTTTTCGAATTTGAAGATACATTAAACTATATGCGTATCTTTTTTATATATATAAGAAGAGGATTAACCTTTTTTAATTAACCGTATGTTGACAGTATGTTGAAAATTTTCATGAAAACATTGGTAATAAAATACATTTTAATAAATTTTATTGCTTATTCAGTGTTCTCTTAAATAAATTACATCATTATTTATTGATGACATGAGAAAAAATAAAGTACACGGCGAAAATAAACTTTGGCATTGTTCAGTATATTAATTTGTATTACACAAATCCTTAAACAGCAACATTCCGATAAGTAAGAGTACGTCCTTAATATGTGAAACTAAAGAATAGATTAATCTCAGATATTATCCATATTTACGGCTTCTTAGCACTCATTGCATAGTAAAACCGCGCAGTACGAATCATGGATTATCCTACTACAATGACTGATATATGATTTCAGCTTGCATGTATTATGTGTTAAGTGCTAAATATTAAAAATATTTTTGACATTTTAATGCTACTAATGGTTTAGCATATATTTAAATATTATATAATAATATGAGGTTTATGATTTATTTGAGCATATTATTACGTACCTAGAAATCTGTAACAATCTTTTGTTATTAATACAAGAATTACTACGTTCACAGTTTTATAATTAAAACATTTGTTTTGAATTATTTCATCGTCGTGGTATACATTATAGTAAAGTATGATACTGCTGTAGTCATAAGCTAAA